ACAATTTATTATGAAATAAATATTTGGTAGGAATATAAGGGAAACACTGTAGCATCCAGAACATAAGATCTTCATTGATCAGCATCTCTGTGGATAGAAACCAAGTGGTTCAAAGAAAAAGATTAACATAAACCCTGGTTGTTAGAAAAGTTCATGTGGATGAACATTTAAAGCAGAATTTGAGAATAACTGCAGATGGGGTGGAGATACAAAGTGGAATTTTTTAAGGTAGAAAGTTTTGTCTTTAAAATAGAATGGTTGAAGTTCTGTTAATGCAGAAACTTTTTTTTTAATTATTAGATTAATGGAAAGTGGAGTGGTCAGAGTGCTGGAGGTTGTGGAAATTTTCCAGAGACTCACAAAAATAATCCCATCTACCAATTCCACATAGAAAAGACTGGGCCGGTACTGATTGAACTAAGAGGACCGAGGTTTGTGATGAGTGGCTTTGCAAATTGATATTAAAAATGAACTGAAACAAAGTTTAGAAATAACCTATGCATATGTGGACATTTGATTCATAATAGTGATGGCATTTAGAGGAATGGGGAAAGGACTGTCTTCAACAAATGGTATGGAATAGCTGAGTATCCATATATTAAGCGGTGATTAGATCCCCATCTTATATCAAATCAGAATTGCAGCTGGATTAGACTTAAATATGAAAGGCAAAACAGTACAAGCTTCTAGGAAACAAATTTATTGACCTGAAATACAATAATTCTCTACAATTTTGTCACCTCATCTAAATTATTCCTTTAATTACTAATTTGGAATATTTATCATCTGCTAATTATTTTTATAAACCTAGATTTTACTCCATTACTTTCTTTCCTGCCTGAGAGTAGCTGTCATTCAAATTTAAAAAACATGAAATACTGTGTTCTTTTAAATTATTCCCTTGGGAACCTTTTTTTTTTTTTTTAAACAAAGTAATCTTAGTATTTATAGCTTCAAATAAAACAAAATGGTACTTTATATAATTGAGTAAAAATAGCATACATGGTTTCAGAATACTATTTACTCCTATTGAAGCTTGAGAAAGCATATATTTTATCTGATAGTAAATCTGCACTTTACATATGATTAAATCATGTATTTACAGCAATTTGCTAATACAGTAATGTTCATTTTTAACACTAGGCAATACAGTGTTGGATTTGAGGTTGTAACAGTTTCTATGGCGGGTGATCCTGGTCCCCATGGCTTTTCAAGAAAATCTAGTGGTGATTATAGGTAATGTTGGCATTTTGATTGTATTCAATTTATAGTTTTTTTTGTGGCATTTTCTTCTATAAACCCTATTCTATCCCCTGAATATAGGTGTGGATTTTGCTACCTGGAAATAGAAAATATACCTGCTGGGATCTTCAACATCATTCCCAGTACTTTTTTGCCTAAACAAGAAGGACCTTTTTTCTTGGACTTCAACAGTGTCATCCCTATCAAGACAACACAACTTCAGTGATGGAGAATTCTCAGCAGTTATTGGATTTTAGACTTACCAACATGAGCTTTTCAAACGTCTTCAGGATGATAAACAGAATGGAATTAAATGTAACGTGTTACAGTAGAATCTGGTGCTTGTCATGGTGTTTGGTAAGAATTGTATATAGCTGGGATTGATTACCTTAATCACCTAGAATACTGTTTACAAGGTTTTGTATATAGAGAGGTGGCTTGCATTTAGGGACTACTTTGTATAAAAATGTGCATCTGATTAAAGATTGGACTCAGTCATCACTGTGAGATGCCTTTGCTAAGAACAAGGGAACCAGATGAGGAAAGCGAGGGACAGATTCATTGAGTGGAAATGGCAGGCAGGCTGTTTTTTTTAATATTTTGAAATATTTACATGTTTCCCTTTTTTACAGAGCATGTTGTAAGTTAAATCTGGTCGTGTTGACTCCAGTGTACATCTCAGGCCACTGATTACCAAGTGAATCATGTCACTATAACCAATTTTAATTTTGCATTTATGATTTTAAATGTTTGTTTTCCCGAATGTTATAAAATAAAGCTTTAAGAAGTACTAATTAGCTTAGCGTGAAGATGCTTAGGCTGAAGAATGAAGGCTGTTGTTAGATACCCATCTGCCATTGAAGTAGAGAACTGAGGTATATTCACTGTTTTATCAGATTGATAAAAGTACATCTAAGAGATTGAAGACATTACAATTTAGTTTGTAGAGTCTTTGAAAATTGCTCTATAGTTCAGTATTCTTGTGATAACAGTACTTTGAAGAAAGTGAGAGTTTAGTATGTGGTAATTGGGTTACATAGTATAGAAAAGTGAATTACCAAGAACTAGTGTTATATGAATTTCCAGGTGTTTACATAAAAATCCGTCAGAATACTTGAGATTTTAAAGGTCTGAAAATTAGTAGGGTGGGATTTTTCATTCTCTACTTTATAATTATCAAAACTTATTTTGTATTTCTATTGCCTTTAATTGAAATAAAATGTTTATACATATGGAAACTGCATAGTTTAGAAAGCTTGACTAATTTAGTATCAAAGAGGTTATTTGCATGAAAATGACTTCAAAATTTTCAGTGGCAGATAATTACATTGTGCTTTTTAGCCACCCCCCCACCCCCCCAAAAAAAACTGGATCACACTCAGGACCTTATTGTGCTGGGCACGTGCTCTACCACTGAGCTACATTCTCAGCCCTTTACTTTGAGACAGGGTCTGGCAACATTGCCCTGGCTGGCCTAGAACCTACAGTCCTTCTGCCACAGTGCTTGTGGCTGGCATGTAAGCTAGATTAGACACTGATTTGACCCTCATGTGTGAAAGATCCTGTTCAGCATGCATATATAAGACCTAATCTCTACCTTCAAATCTGTAGAGATCTACAGTGTGAACAGTTTAATATATTACAATGTTAAATTCCATAACAGCTCTAAATAGAGCTCTGTGGTACAAAGAAAAAAGTAATTCTGCCAGGATCATTGTAAAAAAATCTTGAGTTATTTTAACTTGAACCTTGAAGGTAAAGCTTTAAGAGGCAGATTAACTGCTGGCTACATTTTTATAATCTTCCCAGTAGCTGAAGTACAGGCACTATTATTTCCTTCTACAAATGAGGAAATTAAAAAAAAAAATCTTTAAGCTCTTAGGCTTAACTATATATACTTAATTGCCGATGGACATTTATTTTGTATGTTTATATTTGGTGCTGAGAATCGAACCCAGTGCCTCACACATGCTAGGCAAGCCCTCTACTATTGAGCCACCACCCCGAGCTTAAAGATCTTACCCCAGGTTCACAAGCTGTCTATCCAGAGTCCCAACTCGGCACCTCTGCCCCTTTTCATCTGGGCAGCAGGCTGTAATTAAAGCAGATGGACATAGACCTATTTGTAGGAAGGTAACTGCCTTGAATGAGTTGGAGATAGAATTGAAGGGCCTGGGTATGATCCCTAAATCAACAGTGGGACAGATTTGAAACAGGAAGAACTAGTCAGGAATTGCTGAAGGGAGGTGGAAGATGACTCAGGTTTCTAATTTCAGTATGTGTACAGATGCTCGGAATCAGAAGATACTTTTTAAAGTAAATTTATCCAGAAAAATTCAGATCTGGAATTGGCGTGTGCTCCACTTAAAAAAAAATCAGAAGTTAAATGTGAATTCAATATGGCTAAGAACCAGTTTAGGGGAACTGTGTTTTTAGAAGTGATAAATGCAAAGACTCAACAAGGCGACAAGGATCGTGGGGAAAGTGAAGTCAAACAGGAAATTCTAACTAAAGGTCAGATATTGCAAAGTTAAAGTAACCTGAAAATGTGAAAACAACATGAGGGTAATAACGTGAAAGGTCAAAGGGTGGTCTGCATCCCCTTCCTGGTGCAGGAGACAAGCAAGTGGGAAAGGGGAACAGACAGGAAACCAGATTATTAAGTCCCGCCACCCCAGTAAGGGATACAGCACTGTACCTTGGTTTTCTAGGCTTTGTCTTCTTAAAGACAAGGGAAAGAATAGAAGATTCCATCCAATTTTCATTCTCTGCAAGAAGTACTTAGAGAAATATACACATATGGTACAGCACTCTGGGTAACAGAGCCAGAAATTCACCACCCATTAGATTCAGAACATTAGACTATACAACGTGTCTCCCAGAAACATTGTAGGAACTTTTAAGTCATCCCAGTTTTGGCAGCTTTTCCAAATTTTTTTTTTTTTTACCCCCTTTAGAAAGGGGGATGGAAATGAGTTCTGCTAACAGTTACTCAAGAAAGTCTCCATATCTCTATTAAAATCCATGGTGCAAGGAGATGAGAGAAAGGACTGGGAAGATAGGATCATCATAACTCAGATACACGGCTTAGTACACAATCGTGCATGCCTGTAATCAACTCAGGAGATGGAGGCAGGAGGATCCTCAGTTTGAAGCTATCAGCAACTCGCTGAGACTCTCTCAAAAAAGGACTGGCGGGGTAAGAGTGCCCTGGGTTCTATCCCCAGTACTGGAAACGGAAACTAGAAAACCCACAAATATAGTAAAAGGGACTCGGATGAACTTTGAAATGAAGTAGGTAAAGTACCTTAACACCCTCATGATTACCGTGTTACCCGGCACTTTTCCCACTGCATGCCTTTAAGTTGAAAAGCACACACTGAAAGTAGGCAGATTAACAGCCCAGCATAACATTGGCACCGATCCTTTCCCCAATCAGAAAAGTACTTTACAACCACTTGGAGAGCTTTTGAAAGTGCAACACCAAGTGCACCATAGGCCAGTTAAACCGTCTCTGGGAACAAGACAATAGCTGAGAGCCTCTCCTTGGCACCACCACCAGCATGTTTCCTCACTGCTCTGCATCAGCAGGAGTAGGATTTTAATTCAAACTTTGGCCTTAATTATAATTCATGACCTCAACTGATGACGAGAAAGACGACCACTGCATTCCATGCTCTTCCTATTGCAAGAGGCAGCCACTGCTGGGATTTGATGTCTCTCTCACACATACACACACAGAAAAAAAAAAAGAAAAGTTTTCTTAAGCAGTTTTTATTACACTCAAAGGTCTTAAGACAAGTACAAAATAACCTTGTAATCAGGATACTGTATCAGTCAATAAAAAAGGAGAAACCACTACAGTATGAAGATATACAAATGACTAAAGTATACAGTTATGACAGTTAACAGACAACTTGAAATGGGGAGAGCTTTCTTTCAGAAATGCTAAATTTTCTTGAAACAGGACAAATAAAATATAGTGTTCTAAATATGCATAATCATGAAAACAAAGAAGAGCAGTCTTAACACTTACACTATTAGCATAGCAGACTCCATTGCGTCTATTAAACAGCCTTAGCCAACACATGCCTACTCCCTTTTCTAGCTTTAAGGACAGTTTCCTCTAAGGAATACTAGTGCAGCATGACCTTAAATAATTTATTTTTAAAGTTACAATCTACAGAGAAATTAACACCTTGTCAATCTAGATATAACAATGGCAACCATTCTTCACATGCACTTCTCTTAGAATAAATCCCCTTGGCTGGCAGGATAAGGTTATGCTATAGAACCTTCTCCCCAAAGCCACAAATCCCCTCTATCACCTGTCCCTGCTACCCTCATCCCCCCTTCCCCACACTGACATTCACCTTCCCCCTCCCCCCCCAGAAAAGTGCAGTTCATGGTAGCCTTCCTAGAAATGGTTTTGATGAATGTCCCAGCATACATGCTTTTTTTTTTTTAAAGTCACCTCTGAACACCAGAGGTAATAAAAATGAATTGTGTTCTTGCATTTCATTTTAAGCCTTCACTAGGTCAAAAAGGTGTGCTCTGAGTATTTGAGTTTTTGTTGTGTGGGGTTTTTTAAAAAAATATTTAGATGCTCTGGGATATAATGGGAGAGAACATCTCAGTTTCCCCAAACAAACTGAGGGTCAGAAGGGAAAGAGATGCACACTGGGGCCCCCAGTTTGGCTAAGCTTCCAGCCCTCTTCCTGGCTCGTTTTCTTTCACAGGAACTAATTATTGCTTCCTCAGCACTGAAACAGGGACTGCTCTGCAAAGGCTGTGACCCTGGTCATAGTCCACCTGTAACAACCCTGCTCTGTAAAACAAGCCCAAGAGCTCTTACCAGACGGAAATTCTTCAGCCCTCAAGGTCACTGAAACTTCGTTAGTGCAGTTTAGAGTAGATGCTTAAGATTTGGCATATATTAAATGATTATTGGCACAACGTTCTCCAGTTTCATGTATAAATATTGATTTGCACATGGGCCATAGCCCTGGATGCGTCAGCCAATCTGCACCATTTTTAGGTCAGCAATAATCCCATCTCTTCCCTTCGAGCACTGGAGGGAAAGCTGCTTCATCCGGGTCTCCAAGGCCTGGCCCTCCAGGGAGGTGTTGCTTTGGCTCTTGCCCCTGCTACCACCACCACTGCGGTTGCTGAGACCTTGATTGTTGTTGGCTTTGTCACTGGTTTTATTCTCCGCCCCTTCTGCCCTGTCTCCTGTAGAGATTACAAAAGTTACCAAGTGGGTATTGACAGAAAATTCCACGTTCCTCGGTCACGAGCCAATTAGCTAACTCGGCCCTCTAGAATTCCCAGCATGGCCCACAGTGCATATCAGGTTCCCTAGCACATGATTGCTAATAGCTTTTATTCCTCAGTGTTTTATACATCCCTTTCATTAGTGATGAATTTGTCATTTTCATTTTGTATCTAGGAAACAAACCTCTCTAGCAGGTGCTTGCCAAGGGGACTGTTCTGAGGAGAGAGAGAGAGGACATAGGTGCTACTTTATTAAGGCTGGTGAGGAAGATCCAGAAACCCCCCAGAACAGCCCTTGGAAACAATCCCAGTGATCAAGGCCAACAGGATATTCATAGACCCAGGAGGGCACTGCTGGGAGCCCCAAGAGCTGGCAGAAGTCTGTAGCAGTACACAGGCCAGGCAGCAGGTCATCTAGGATGGGACGAGAAGGCTGTGACTCACCTCGTTCTCCCTCACATTCCGGGGAGGAGGCCCCGCTGCATTCACTTCGAGGACCTAGCACTGGGAACATCAGCCCAAATTCTGATAGGGACACTGGGCTGGGCAGATCCAGACTGCCAGGCCTTGTGACTGCAGGGAACTGGTCAGGTATCTCAGATGGGCTCGTTGGTCCTGAACTAAAGCTGGACACAGACTGGGTTTCTGAGTCATCTTCAGACACAAAGTTGCTACAGTTGTCATCTTCAAAGGCCTCCGAGGCCACTGGGGATGAGAGAGAGAACACCAGTCACATGGAATCTGATAGGTGGTAGTAACCGAGTTCCTTCAACACTCACAGAAGTGCTTGCTGCTGGCAGTGACACACAGCACAAGGACTGCAGAATCTGTCCATGAGGTGCCTAACAGGCGAGTGTGACCCCGAGCCTGTCTCTTTGCAGTGTCCAAAGCAGCACGAAGCAAAGCAGCTGGATCCTATGGACCGTCAGTGTCCCTAGAGTAACCTCAACCCCTGCCCTAGAAATCAGGGTTACCAGACTCTGCAGAGGGAAGAAGATGAATTCAGCCACAGATCAGGACCTCTTCTCCACCTCAGTTACCCCCAAAACAGAAACAGGAAGAGGTGCTAGCCCACTGGAATGGATCCCAAACAGAGCCAGTCTTTCCAAGAAGACTGAAGAGGGTTGGGGCTGTGGCTCAATGATAGAGCGCTTGCCTCACATGCCTAGAGTACTGAGTTCTATCCTCAGCACAACATAAATAAGTAAAATAAAGGTATCGTGTCCATTTACAACTAAAAGGAAAAAAAAAAAAAAAAAGACTTGAGAACTTTTTCATAAGGCCAAAAAAGCAAAAGCTGCCCCATATGGAATAGCTGTGGGGATTTCTGTTTCCTTCCAGGTAACTTCTGATCTTGTAAAAGACACACTTAAGACCGGACAGACTGGGTGTAGTGGCATACACCTAAAATCCCAGTGATTCAGGAGGCTGAGGAGGAGGAACACAGGTTTGACGCCAGCCTCAGCGACTTAGTGAGACCCTGTCTCAGAAGGACCAGGGATGTAGCTCAGTGGCAGAGCACTTTGGGCTCAGTCTCTACTACCAAAAATTGAAAACAAAACAAAACCCACCTAGATCACTATTTGCCGCAAAGAACAAAACCCTTAACAGTGTTCTGTACCTTAGTTTGTAGACCAGAATAACCAAGGCCCAGTTCATGTTTTTTTACCCTGGGTTTTAGAGCCTTTCAGCTTTAACTAATGTTCCTTTCAGCCTGCACACAGCTCCACTTCTTTTGTCTTTCCAACTCCTCATCCTTCATCTTTAAAAATAGCCTTGTAGCATCTGTACAGGACTGTTACAAATGACAAGTGCTGTAATATTGGGCACAGGAAATGGGCTCAGACCTCAATTCATATTCTAACTCCATTTCTTGCTGTGTGGCTTTGTCAAATTATTTAACATCTCTGAGCTTCATGATCCCCTCCATACAGGGTTTATGAGCTGATATATACTAAAGTAACTCACAGTTATTGCTTAAATTTCAAATTCTAGTTTCCTTTACCTTGGCTCTGACATTTAAGTTTTTTATTGATGGAATCCCTAATGAAGGGATTATTCCAAAGGAAAGGAAAAAAAATGAAGTGCTTAAAGACAGGTGTTGGTGAGGTTTTCCTGTTCTACATAACAGAAGCCAAATCACACCTCTATCAGAAAAAAGGTCTCAGGGGAGGGGAGGGGGGATAGTAGAGAATAGGACAGACAGCAGAATACATCAGACACTAGAAAGGCAATATGTCAATCAATGGAAGGGTAACTGATGTGAAACAGCAATCTGTATACGGGGTAAAGTTGGGAGTTCATAACCCACTTGAGTCAAACTGTGAAAGATGATGTATTAAGAACTGTGTAATGTTTTGAACGACCAACAATAAAAAAAAAACACTTTTTTTTTTTTTACAAAAAAAAAAAAAAAAAAAGAAAAAAGGTCTCCATGGTCAGACATCAGTGAGTGCCTGCTGAGTGCTTACCGGGTGCCAAGCATTATTTCATATACTCTTGACCACCAACCTACATCACAAAAAGTAGTAGATGCTATGATACTCTCCATTTTATAGGCAAAAACCAAATATCAGGTCACCTCTTGACTACATTGTGAAGGCCAGGATGTGGATCAAATGTGATTCCAAAGTCCCTATTCTTTTTGGGAGGTGGGGGGCCCTGGGGATTGAACTTGGGGGCACTTGACCACTGAGCCACACCCCCAGCCCTATTTTGTAATTTACTTTAGAATCAGGGTCTCACTGAGTTGTTTTGAACTCATGATCCTCTTGCCTCAGCCTCCTGAGCCACTGGGATTACAGGCATGCACCACTGTGCCCAGCCCAGAGTCCCTATTCTTAGACAACTCTTCCCTGCAGGACTTCTCAGAACCTTGAATGTTCTAAAGTATGTCAGAGTGGGATGAAGGTGTAACATTTTCCAAACTTCTTTGAGCACATTTAGCATTTCACCAAACACAGTAGTCCACCAAACCTAGGAAGCCACCAGAAAGAGCCTGCAGGGCTGCCAACTCTGACATCCTCTGGCATGGGCATAAAGGGCGGGGATCCTGGGACAAGACAGCCCTGGAAGTGGATCACATAAGCCACATGGCCTTATTGCCCAGCTCACCTGAAACAGCATCTGGCTCAGGCTGGCCACCCACCAGGTCCTCCACAGACGTGCTGCTGCCCTCTGCCCCGACGCCGCAGCCCCGAGGGCCCATGGCACTGGAACGCCGCCGCTCGTGGATCTCGTCTGAGATCCTCTCCAGGTTCTTCAGGGCCGTCTTGTACTCGCCCTTTGCCAGGGTCAATTTGGCCTGCAGGTCGTCCACTGTCTTCTTCAGTTGCTGGTCAGGAAGACGGGAGATTCAGTCAATGAGCGCTGCCCGCGCTGGCCCCAAGACACTTGTTGAAGTGCAGGTTCAAGAACATTTTCTGCACTTCAAAGAATTTCCCAAGATGTGACTCAGAGCCCGATTACTCAGCACAGCCACCCACTCACCAGATAGAAAACTCAGCCACCAACCCCTCTGTGCTCCCATCCAGGTGACAAGCTATGATATCCGGAAACTCTCACTGGTGGATTACAGCCCGTCAGGGAAGGAACACATGGAAGACCCACAGTCTAGCCATCTGGTCCCTAGTACATTGGTTCTCAAACTTGTATCAGAATTCCCTGGAAGGCTGCTGAAAACTCAGATCTCTGGCCACACGCCCAGAGGTTCAGATCCAGCAGGTGGAGGGTGAGGCCTGGGAACCAGCAAGTTGCCAGGTGGTTCCGGTCTTAGGAGCAAGGGTAAAACATAGTACAGTCACTAAATGGCAGAGTTAGCTTCAGACGCCATGGGAGACCCATCAGGACCATTTTCAGATCTAAAAACTCAGTCAAAGATCTCTACTCTCCCCTTGAAACAGCGAATGGGTCACTTGAAAGCCCGCTACCACGTCAAAGTGGCGTTTTGAGTGCAGAAAAAACCCAAAAGGGACAAATCCCAAGGCAATACTTACCTCAAGCTGCACGTAGTACTTTCCCTTGAGTTCAAAATAAGGTCTGCGGAAGACGGGAAGGAAAATCGTAAGAGTAGTAAGACACAATGACCACGACAAACTCCACGAGGTGCATCCGAGACGTTAGTTGCAGCAGGACAGGATTTAGTGAACTCTGACAAGGCCAAGAGATGAAGGCGACATCCCAGCCTCAGGGCCCGAGTGACAGACACCTGACAGAGCTGGTGGGCCTCACCCCAGGGCTTGATGATAGGAGGCTCATTCCTGGACACTGGGGACCCTGCACTTGGTTTACTCTCCTTTTGGTGATGATGGGGGGCTGTTCAAGGCCACACAGCGGTACCCGGCAGCAATGCTGCTGTGGATCTGCTTTCCAAGGATGATTGACAGATGAGGCTGCTTAAACCACCTCCTCTGCTGGGCGAGAACAGCCCTCACTGGGCCACCACAAACTGGAGGCTCTAGTTGATCCTTCAGGATGGTGGCCAGAGCTAGAGTTGGGCAGTTGGCAGAATCAACCAGGTCACAAGCAAGAGAAAGGACAAGAAATGTCAGCTTTCTCCCAGTCCCTTGGATTCAGAGTCTGCCAGAAGACCATGGCTCTTTAGGACCTGTGACGTCAACACTAGAGCTGACCCATGAAGCTCCCATGTCCCCCACTGCTAGCATGCAGAGGACAAGGGCATTGTAGGATGCCTTGGGCGAGTATGGAAAATCTCTTGCACCTTCCAAGTGGGTCATGCCTAGAGCAGCCCACCCCTCAGCATCCTCTGCCTCTGGAGGGTCACAGAGAACACTGAGGACCAGGGGGCCTGGGCAGGGGGCTCTGGTGAGAGGATGTGGACGATGTCAACCCTGCAGCCCGGTGAAGGCTGCTCCCAGACTCACTTGGACTTGTTGATGGCCCTCTTGAGTTTCTTCTCCAGCTGTCGCATGCGGCCTATGGCGGCATTGTACCGGGCTGCAGTCTCCTTGTGCACCAGCTCGCTCCTCGTCTTGGTCTGCTCTGCCTCCATGACCTTCCAACAACAGCAGAGGTCAGCTCAGTCAAGCCCAGAACAGCTCCTGGTTGGGTTATCACTTATATCACCTTGTGAGAAGGTTCTTGGAGGAAATTAGGAGTCAGACTCTCAGATTGAACCAACTTTCCAATTAAATGGGATTTTCTTTCCCATGGGTCTATTTTGAAAGAGCCTTGCCAGGTAAGATTAAATGGCCAAGTTTATGGGAAAGAAAAAGGAAAAATTAAGAGAAAATTTTGGAATATTCAGACTCAACCAATTTCCTCTGCTCAGGCCTCCTGGCTGTCAAGGAGCCATCTTGAGCTCCTCCTACTACCCTCTTGGGGCAGGAGCTGAAGGGCAGATAAATGGCCAAGTAGCGTGAGTGGGAACTTAAGAGGCATCAGGAAGCTGGGTGCATGCCTATAATCCCAGTAATTTGGGAGGCTAAGGAAGAGGATCACACGTTTGAAGCTGGCCTGGGCGACTTAGTGACGCCTGTCTCAAAAAAAGAGAGCCCCTGGGATCCACCCAGTATTTTGTGTGTGTGTGTGTGTGTGTGTGTGTGTGTGTGTGTGTGTCTCCTTCCCCATCCTGAATTCATTGGCTGAGCACAGAAAAAAATCAAGGATCCCGAAAGGTCAAATTTTACATTAAGTAATGAAAATGACAACCATGTCATTCATATCAGATCTTGAAGTTAAAAAAAAAAATCCACTCAGGAGATAAGTCCAAGTTCTGGTGGGAAATTCTAGAGGGAATATTTTGTTAAGCCTGTTGATAATTTTTTTTTTTTTTTTTTTTTTAAGGATCCTTGAGGGACAAAAATCAAGGCAATTCAAAGACAGGCTCAATCATTCTTTCTTCACATTCCATCCGGACAATGTCTGCCCTGAGGGAAGAGGAAGGCAGCCCAGGGAAGGCCCACCCACAGCACAGCTGGTCATTTCTTCCCCTCTCCTCTGCAGGAGCACAGTTAAGCTAAAGGGATTTTTGGTACTGGGGATTGAACCCAGGGGCACTTTACCACTGGACCACATCCCCAGCCCTTTTTTCAGACAGGGTCTCGATGAATTCCTTAGGGCCTTGCTAAATTGCTTCAAACTTGCCATCCTCCCGTCTCAGTCTCTGGAGTTGCTGGGATTATAAGCATGTACCACACCTGGCTTAAAGGGTCATTCTATATTTACCCAAGGAGCATCAGAGAGAAGCTCAAAGGACGCTTGGTCATTGGCCCACCTACTTGGACCCCAGCAGGACAATTTTTAGAGGGTCCACCCTGCCTGTAACTTGAGATTCAAAGAGAAGTTCACAGAAGGGTTATACCCTTTCCTCCAGGCAACAGCTGCAGTCAGCCCCCAGTGGTGGCTCATTTATTCAATAAATACTATTTATTCAATTACTTACAGTAATGATGTTTAAAGGTGCTAGGGAAAGTTGTGAATGCCTTCGATATTAACAGTGATTTTTTTAAAATTCAATTCCTATATGTCTAAAAAGAATAAAAATGTTTTAAAAAAAAAGATCACTGATGTCCTATTTTAGGGACCCTCCTCGGTTATATATATTTGACTTTGTCTTGGAGCTGCTTTACAATCTTGTGAGTTGTTGAACACTGACAGTAATATAGATGATTCTCATCTAGAGAAATGAAGCTGAACTATATCCTAGTGAAGATGTAATTGATTATCAGTTACCCTCTAAGTAATGACCAATTTTGTATCTGACTGTAAGTCTACTTCAGCATTCCTGATTTTCTATGAGTGTTTTTTCTTTCATTCTCTTTAAGAACTTCAAGAACTGTTATGACATCTTATGTATCAGTTCCCTCCATCAGTTAAAGTCTTTGCCAGGACAACATTTTTATCTGTATCAATTTACACTTTCACATTATTAAAAACATGTATCTTTTAACAAAGGCTTCAGATAATTTTTAAAATAGTCACCAAGTGCCAGGTGTGGGGGCACAGGCCTGTAATCCCAGCGGCTCTGGAGGCTGAGGCAGGAGGATCACAAGTTCAAATCCAGCCTTGGCAACTTAGTGAGGCCCTAAGCAACTCAGTGAAACCCTGTCTCTAAATAAAATATTTAAAAGGGCTAGGGATATGGATCAGTGATTAAGCACCCTGGGATCCCTGGTAGCCCCCTTCCCTGGAAAAAAACCCAAAACCACCAAGTCAGAGAAGGGAAATGAGCTAAGTGGGCAGGGGGTGACTAAAATGACTTCTCAACCAAGATTAAAGGGTTAAGAGGACCTTTCCCTCTTGCTCCTCCTAACACCCGCTATTTCACAAGGAAACAAAATACACTAAAAATATTGTGCTTGACATTTGCGGGGAACCTCAGGAATGTTTCAGCTTTGCCTTAAACCTTGAACTCTAAGGATTGACTAGAGTAACCTTTATGAATACCCCAAACCCCAAGCTTATCCACAAAGACAAAATACTGGGAGATTCGTTTCTTTCCAAAAGGATCTGGAGGCAGGGCGCATCAGTGAGGAGTGGTCTGAATGCATATTAAACAGACTGAATTCCAAAAGCTGTAATTCAGGCTACTGAAGAGTCCCCTGCAAGATGCCAGGTGCTCACCAGCACACAGACCCTCCGTCTCCCTCAGTCCCCAGGCTGCAAACAGAAGCAAAGCCTTTCTAAAATTAAACATGCACTTGGCGACACTGCCAGGAAAGACTGAAGGGTACAAATACATCCTACTTCATCCTTAACAGGCCACCTCTACCCAGTCCTGTCTGAATGCCCCCTCCCCACACATACTCACAATCCCCAGCTCTCCAAAGAAAACACACAGCTTCCCCCCTTGAAGGGGAGAGGGGGCCACCAAGCTTGTCACCTGGTACATCTCCTAGGTAACCAAGGAGCTCCTCCATCTGCCGCCTAGGATCTGGCCCGAGGTGTGTGGTGATGGAAGGGAAGGGAGGGTAAGGGAGGAAGAGGGCAGCCCAGGGACAGGGGCTGTGCCTGCAAGGTTGAAGCAGCAGGGGACAGAGGCAGAGCCACAGAGGAAAGCCATAATGAATCCCTCAAGGTAGCTGGGACCAGCCTGAGCAATCAGATCAGTGCTTGAACCTCGGTCTCAGAGCAGCCTCATCCCCCTCAAAGCCTGCACGAACCAGGTATTGTGGTGTGGACTCCAAGAATTCTCCTCCCATCTGCAAGGTCTGCTTTCATTTTACCGCCATCATTGAGTCAGAGCTGCATGTGGTGATTGAACACCTACTGCATACAAGGCACTGCGCAGGACACAGTCGACTAAACTCTGGGCTGACAGCCTTGTTGGCGTGGACACTCCCAGCAGCAGTGACCATCGTTCAAGGCAGTGGGGGATCCAGGGGGCCTTGGAGCAGGCGTGGAATCTGAGGTGATGGATGAGGAGGAGGAGGACACACTACTGACATAGGCCACAGTTTTTCCTGGCTTCTACTCACAGGTCACATGAGGGACACAAAGGAAAACAGGGCACAAAGCTCAGCTTTCTGCCGCATTTCCCTGAGCTGGAAGGCTCCAGGTGAACTTAGCAGAAGGAGACAACTGTCCAATGTGAAGGTGGTCTTCACTTCCCTCCAGATGGTTCAGAACTTTCTCACCAGAGTGGGCTCTGTCCTGGGGACCATCCAGCCACAGGCTCTGTGAGCTTCAGAGTGTCCACCTTAGCCTTCAGGACTAAGAAGTCAGGCCATCCTGAGGTTCCCCAAACCTGCAGAGATGCGCTCCTGCCCCTCAGACCTACCCCAAATGCTCAAGAGTGGACGACCCACTGGTGCCCACTGTCTCCCAGCAGACCCAGGCAGCTGGAGCTGGCACTGCACCCAGGCCCAAGCAGGCAAGCACAGAGGCCCTGCAGAAGGTCTGCCAGTACGAGGGTGCTGTTGGAACCACAGACCTCCGTCTCTCCTCTTCCCCGGGCTATCAGGACAGTCAGCCTGCTGCACTCCCAGAAGCACCAGAGCAGCTGGGGCCTAAAGGCCCAGGGACCATGGAGCTACTGCTCAACAGCAGCCCCTGCTCATGGTAAGCCCACAGAAGAGTCCAGACAGCTGTGCCTTCCTGCCGATGGGCACCAAACAGGTGTACCAACCTGGCGAGACACAGCCTCCTTGCTGGGTCCCACCAGAGAACAACCTGAACTCACCCGCAGCGTGGCGCTCAGCCTCCCAACATGGCTTTCTAAACTGTCCCCAACCTGAGGTTCCTCCACGCTCAGGTCTACTCGGAACCTCATTCAGCATCTTCTGAGCATGTTTCTTCTTGCATTCCTGTTCCAAGAGGACCCCAGAGGTGGCTCTTCATGCCCCGTGAGAGACTTATGGTTCGGGGCCATTCGTAGCAGGGCAGCTGTCCTCAGCAGCTTGTCTGCCATCCCGGGCCTCATGTTCACTGCGGACCAGGGAGCAGAGGCTGGCCGTGTCCCATCTTCTCTAGCAGCTGCCTGCTGCCAGCTCATAAGCCGTGACTCCCTCTCCATTTCCAAGTCACACTGCCCTCTTCTCCGTCTGGCTTCTTCAGCAGACATCAGAAAAGGCAATGCTTCCCTCCCAGGTGGCCGGGGTCTCCCGACTCAGAGGATAAAAATCCATCACTTTCCCATGAAGGCTGTCTCAAGGCCAGAGCATCCAGGGGTGGCGGGGACTGTTGCCCAAACCTCTTTGGAGAGCAGAGGGATTCGGAGCCCTGTGCCCCAAGGGAGGTTGCTCACCAGCAGCCTCTGTGGGTCCGACTGAAACTCTTCGCTGTTCCTGTGGCCCTGTCTGTGGTGTGACCTGTGGCCTGATAGAGAGCACCTGGGCTCCTCACATGCCCCAGGCTGCTGGCTTCAATTGTGGCTCCACGGCTGGCCACGGAATGTCACCATAGCAAATCTAAGGGGAATGGGAGGGGACACGCGGATGACCTTAGGTGAGGCGTGTGTGGAGATGAGGAACAACAGGCGATAGGAAGAACCAGCTTCCTGGTGTATCCAGAAGCAAGACCAAGTGGCAGATTCTTTCTGGAGCCTTGTGTTTTATTGAGAGAGAGGACCTCAATGAGTTTCTTTAGCACCTCGCTGTTGCGGAGGCTGGCTTTGAACTTGCAATCCTCCTGCCTCAGCCTCGTGAGCCGCTGGGATTACAGGCCTGCACCACGGCCATCTATTTCATTCTTTTTTAAGGAACAGAGTCAATGA